AGCACTGTCTCTGAGCTTTTTTTCCCTTCCCCAAGTCTAGCGCTCTATCCCTTGAGCCAGGACTCCACGTCTGGCATTTTTTGATCCTTCATTAGAGATCAGGGTCTCTCAGACTTTCCTGCCTGGGCTGGCTTTGAACCGCGATCCTCAGATCTCGGCCTCCTGAGGAGCTGGGATGACAGGATGCCCGGCGTGTGAGCCGCCGCGGGCGGTCTTGGGTATAAAACGTTTCTCCTGGCAGAATACAGAAAGCCACGGAGTCTCTGAAGACCTTCAGGCCCGCTGCCCAGACGTCGTTCGAAGACTATGTGTTGAACACCTCCAAGCACACCGAGCTCCTCGGAGAGCTGTCTTTCTTCTCGAGCGGTAAGTGCCAGCCAGGCCGCCGGCTCCGGGTCTCAGGGCCCAGCACCCCAGCCCTGGATCCCTTCTGTGATTCACTCACGGCACTGTCTTCTATTGGGTCACGACTGGTGCTCTGCCCCTTCGGTCGCGCCTCCAGTCCAGCGTTTTGCTGTGGAGTCTCTTGGGCATTTCATCCCACGTGGCCCCGTGAACCTCACCGTCTTCGGCCTGAGCCTCTAGCGCTGTGTGGTTTTAAATCCCCTTTTGGTAAACTGCCTTCTATTCTTTTTTGCCAGTCCTGGGGCTTGAACTCAGGGCCTGGGCGCTGTCCCTGAGCTGCTTTTTGCTCAAGGCGAGCACTCTACCACATGAGCCACAGCGCCACTGCCGGCTTTTCTCTGTGTTGGTGGCACTGAAGAATCGAACCCAGGGCTTCACACACGCGAGGCCAGCGCTCTTGAGCCCCCTTCCCAGCCCCCAGGATGATCGTTTCTCACTGCCGGCCTTGGGTTTGGGGGTCCGTGCAGGGGTGGCCGTGCCGGAGATCAGCGAGGAGCAGAGCAAGGTTTACAACAACGCCCTGATCAACTGGCGCCAGCCGGGTGGGGACGAGGCGGACAGCTACGTGCTGGAGTACCGCAAGGTCAGCCGGGAGGACGACGTGCTGGCGTGGGACGAGGTGGAGGTGCTGGGCACCAGCAAGGTGGTCTCCAACCTGGACAGCAACGCGCACTACGCCTTCCGCGTGCGCGCCTACCGCGGCTCCATCTGCAGCCCGTGCAGCCGGGAGCTGGTCCTGCACACGCCGCCCGCGCCAGGTACGCCAGGCCAGGGCCTGCCCGCCGGCCGGGTTGCTCCGCTTCCCTTTACATCGTGACTTCATTTCGTGCAGCTGCTGCAGCTGCTGCGCTTGAACTCAGTGACTCGAGTCCCACGGAGATGCTTCTCAGGGCTGGTGCTCTACCGCTTGAGCCACGCTCCACCCTGGCTTTTTGCCGATTCATTGGCCATGGGAGTCTCAAGGACTTTCCTGCCCCGGCCGGCTCCCGCCTGGGGTCCTCAGGCCTCGACCTCCCCGGGTAGCGAGGATGCCAGGTGTGAGCACCGGGGTGCCCGGCTCCCCACTCCTGCTTCTAGAAGACTGCATGCAGACAGACAGGCGGGTGCAAGGAGCCCTGCTGCCCGGGCTGGACCGAGCGGCTTACAGGGGTCACGGTGAATCGGGGCGACCCTGCACGGAGCTGGGCTGCCTTTAACGTTTGAGGTGGCGTCACCCCATCATTGCCCCCTCTCAGGCCTAGGGGTCTGCATACTTCCAGACGCCCCTGGATTTAGTGGTGCTAGATTGTCCGTGTCACTGGTCCTGAGGCCCAGGGTGTGGGCTCCCGCTGCGGGCGGGGAGGTGCTTTGGGAGGTCTTTGTACCATGCGTCATGGCTCTCCAGCGCCTGCGTGTGTGTGTGTGTGTGTGTGTGTGTGCACACGTGTGCCCCAGGGCCCGGGACCTCGCGGCTGGAAGCCGGCCCGGCCTGGCCCTGTTCATCACCCCTGGCCCCTCCGTTTGGTTCTGCCCGCTGTCCGTCTTTAGCGGCTCATGAGCTTGGATTTTCCCTGCCCCGGCTCCCCCACCTCCCCCCTTTTTTTGGGGGGGGTCCAAAATAGGGAAGCGTAAGCGCAGGCTTCCCCCCTGTGGTCTCCAGACACATCCTGGCTTTTCACGCTCAGCACACACGGAGGTAGTGCGCTAAAACGATTCTTCCTGAACGCGGATCACATCCAGGGGGCCCTGGCTGCCTCTTCCAGCTTGAAGCCATGCTGTGGGTCCCCCGTGGGGTCCCCCGTGGGTTTCCCTCCCCCCCACCCTTGCTGAGTGCGGTGTGGGAGGAGGAACAGGAACCCCGCGGCTGCTGTTTTGGGGACATGGGCGGGGGAGGGGAGCCGACTTCCTTTTCTCCCAGAGAAGCCGTCTGGGGGAAGGCCGCCACCCCTCCCTCCGTGCACTGCGCAGTCGGCAGATGCAGGAGATGGTCTGTCAGGCGCCTGCGCAGGACCGGGAGGAGAGCCCTGCTGTCCCCCTCCTGCCAGGGGCCAGGCCTTCACGAAAGCGGTGATGGTGTCTGTGGAGGAAACGTACCTGAGGGACCACACAGCTGCCCTGAGAGTCTGTGATCCGGACCCCCCCCCATCAGTAACTCCCTGCTGTGATCAATAGTAATTCCCCGCCATGATCAGTAATTCCCTGCTGTGATCAATAGTAATTCCCCCCCCCCATCAGTAACTCCCTCCTGTGATCAATAATAACTCCCCGCCAGGATCAGTAATTCCCTGCCATAATCAATAACTCCCCGCCAGGATCAGTACTCCCCTCCATGATCAATAACTCCTTGCCACGATCAGTGATTCCCTCCAGCTGTGGTCTGTGACCCCCCCCCACCCAGCCGTGGTCAGTGACCCCCCCAGCCATGGTCTGTGACCCCCCCCAGCCGTGGCCAGTGACCCCCCCCGCTGTGGCCGGTGACCCCGCTCCTGCCGGTCTATGGCCTTCCCTCGGGCGGGCTCCTCACAGGAGCAGCCTGGCCACGCAGGCGGCTGGATCACTTCCCCTTTGAGGCGCCTTTGCTTTCCTCCTGAGGATCTTGGTGGTTTCGGTGGAGCTGAGAGTCTCACGGACTTTCCCGCCCGGGCTGGCTTTGAACCGCGATCCTCCGATCTCAGCCTCCTGAAGGGCTGGGATGAGGGGCAGGAGCCGCCCGCGCCCGGCTGCCCTATTCAAAACGGCTGCTTCTGTGTGGAGGCTCCGGGCAGGGGCTGTGGGTGGCCCTGGGGAGGGCTGTGGAGGGCCCTGGCGGGGGCTGTGGGTCAGCGGGGCCCTGGTGGGGGCTGTGGGTCAGCGGGGCCCTGCCCTCCGCGGGGCCCTTCCCCCACCAGCCTCACGCTCAGCCCCGCTCAGTTTTCAGCTTCCTCTTCGACGAGAAGTGCGGCTACAACGCGGAGCACCTGCTGCTGAACCTGAAGCGGGACCGGGTGGAGAGCCGGGCGGGGCTGGCCACGCTCCTGGAGGCCGAGCGCATCCAGACCGGCCACCACGCCAGCCTGGACTACATCGTGGCCGACGCGGGCATCGCCAAGGGCCGGCACTTCTGGGCCTTCCGCGTGGAGCCCTACTCCTACCTGGTGAAGGTGGGCGTCGCCTCTCTCGACAAGCTGCAGGAGTGGCTGCACTCGCCACGCCAGGCCCTCAGCCCCAGGTAGGCCAGCCACGCCCGCATCCTCCGTTTGGTCGGTCATGGGGCCTGAACTCTGGGCCTGGGCGCTGTCCCTCAGCTCTTCAGCTCAAGGCTAGTGCTCTACCACTTGAGCCACAGCGCCCCGTCCGGTTTTCTGGTGGTTCAGTAGAGATCAGAGTCTCACGGACTTTTCCTGCCCGGGCTGGCTTTGAACCACGATCCTCAGATCTCAGCCTCTTGAGTGGCTGGGATGGCAGGCGTGAGCCCCGGCGCCCGGCTCCATGAGATTTTTACCTCCACTGAAAGTACAAAAATGCCGGGAGAGTGGCCTTGAGCAAAAAAAAAAAAAAAAATGAAAAAGAGCTCAGGGACAGTGCTCAGGCCCTGAGTTTAAGCCCCGCCCCCCCATGCACGCATGCATGCATGCACGGAGAGTCAGGTTGTCTGAATAATGAGATCCAGGGGCTCATCTTTGCTGCCAGGAGGAAGCGGGTCTGTTTGGATAGTTCTGATGATGGGTGCAGCTTTTTCTTTTCTTTTCTTTTCTTTTTTTTTTTTTGCCAGTCCTGGGCCTTGAACTCAGGGCCTGGGCGCTGTCCCTAATCTTCTTTTGCTCAAGGCGAGCGCTCTACCCCTTGAGCCACAGCGCCACTTCCAGCCTTTTCTGCTTCTGTGGTGCTGAGGAATCGAACCCAGGGCCTCATGCATGCGAGGCCAGCGCTCTTCCACTGAGCCACCTTCCCAGCCCAGTTTTGGGGTTTTAAGACAGGCAAGTGTGACTCCCCGGGCCCGGGCCGTGGAGGGGAGGCGCACACACACCAGTGAGCTGCCCCGGGTGCCACGCTGGGCGGGCACCTCCACGCGCCGGGCGTGGACTGGGGGTGGTGGCCTGTCATCTCTGTTTGGCTGTTCACATCCTGGTGGATGGCGTGGGGGGAGGATGGTGTGTGTGTGTGTAGCATGGTGGGGTGTGTTGTGTGTAGCATGGGGTGTGTGTGTGTAGCACAGCATGTGTGTGTGTGGCATGGCGTGTGTTGTATGTGTGTGTAGCATGGCGGTGTGTGCGTGTATAGCATGGCAGTGTGTGTGTAGCACTGTATGTGTGTGCATGTAGTGTGTGTGTGCATGTGTTGTGTGTGTAGCATGGCGGTGTGTTGTGTGTGTAGCATGGCGTGTGTTGTGTGTGTGTAGCACGGCGGTGTGTGCGTGTATAGCATGGCAGTGTGTGTGTAGCACTGTATGTGTGTGCATGCGGTGTGTGTGTATAGCATGGCGTGTGTAGCATGGCGTGTGTAGCACTGTGTATGTGTAGCATGGCATGTGTTGTGTGTGTAGCATGGTGTGTGTGTGTAGCATGGCGTGTGTTGTATGTGTGTGTA